ACAGAGCCTGACATGGGGCTCGAACTCACAAAATTGAGATCATCACCTGAGCCAAAATCAAGAGTCAGGCTCATAACTGACTGACTGACTGAGCCACCCAGGTGCCCCACCAAAAATAAATAAAACATTAAAAAAATTTTTTTTTAAATAAGAAAAAAGAAAATGGGTGGCCTGGACTCTTAAAAAAAGAAAAAGAAAGTGTGGGGTGCCTGGGTGGTGGTGATTTCGAGTCCACTCATGATCTCATGGTTCCTGAGATCAAGCACCATGTCCAGCTGTGCACTGGCAGTAGGGGCCCTCCTTGGGATTCTCTCTGTGATAAATAAACAAACTTAGAAAGAAAAAAAAAAGAGGTAAACTGTTCTAGATCAGGAATGGGGAAACTTTCTCTGTAATGTACTTGACAGTAATTTTTTTTGGCTTTATGTGCCATATGGTCCCTGTTTAAACTCTTTAAGTCTGCTGTTACAGGGCTGTAAAAACTACAAAAGCTGCCACAGATAATACATAAATGAGTAGGTGTGGAATAAAACTTTATTTACAAAAACAGGTGGCAAGCATAGTTTGCCAAATCCTAGATTAAAAGAGACCCAGAACTGAAAGCAACTGATGAACTTGGATGTATCATGTCATCAGTGTGCCCTCCCCAGAACGAAAAAGCAAATGATTAACAACCGAATGTAACTGAGTGGCCCACAGGTATTCACTGCTGGGGGATTCTTTCTACTTTTCTGTATGCTCAACACTCTCCATAATAAACATCATTTTCAACCTGTGCACAACACTGCACTGATCTGTGTCATTAACTCTTTAATCCCTTTTCAATTTCTCTTTCTTATAAATATGATAACAAGTATCTTTTGTACATGAATATTTGCTCACAGTATTTCTTTACGGCATATTTTCGTTATTGAGGAGAATTACTGGAACAAAGAGAGAACATGACTCTTGATACATATTTCAAAACTGCTTCCTAAAATAGTTGCACCTTGGGGAGCCTGGGTGGCTCAGTTGGTTAAGCATCAGACTTTGGGGTTTGATGTCCATGTCAGGCTCTGTGCTGACAGTGCAGGGCCTGCTTGAGATTCTCAATCTCTCCCCCTCTGCCCCTCCCCAACTTGTGCTTTCTCTCTCAAAACAAAGGAATAAACTTTCAAAAATATATATAAATTGAAAAAAAAAAACCCACAAAACTTTTTAAGGGCGCCTTGGTGGCTCAGTGAGGCTGACGTTGGCCCAGGTCATGATGATCTCACGGCTCCTGAGCCAGAGCCCTGCATGGGGCTCTGCTGTCGGCATGGAGCCCGCTTCGGATCCCTCCCTCTTGGCCCCTCCTCTGTTGGTTCTATCAAAATAAATAAACTTAAAAATTAAAAACAATAACAACCCTTTTAAATCAGTGAAAGCTGAATTACATGCACAAATTATGAATGTTCATCATAAATGTTTGTAACAGTGAAAAACTAGAAACAACTTGAATTCCCACCAGTAAACTAACAGTTACATAAACAACCACCTATCAGACAACGAAACATGAAGTACAAGTGAGGCCACTGATCCATTATTTTTGCTGCAAACAGGTTCAACACATGCTGGAAAAATAAGGCTATAAGGAAAGTATAATCTCAGTGTGATATTTAACAGGAGAAAATAGAGGGGCACCTGAGTGGCTTAGTGACTTAAGCATCTGACTTCAGATCAGGCCATGATCTCGGGGTTCGTGGGTTTGAGCCCCACGTCGGGCTCTGTGCTGATAGCTGGGAGCCTGGAGCCTGCTTCAGATTCTGTGTCTCCCTCCCTCTCTGCCCCTCCCCCACTCTATCTCTCTCCCCTCTCTGCCCCTCCCCCACTCTATCTCTCTCAAAAATAAATATTTAAAAACATTTTTAAATAAATAAATACAGAGAGAAAAAACACGGGGTACCTGGCTGGCTCAATAGGAAGACTGTGTGACTCTTGATCTTCAGGTCACGAGTTCGAGTCCCACACAGAGTGTAGAGATAGATAAATAAATAAAACTTCAACAAAAACTTAAGAGAAAAATATGAATAAATTAAATACACAGAGAAGCCTGTGAGGTGAAACCCAAAACATAAGCGTGGCCACTTGTCAAGGGTGGGACCCTGGGTAAGTACTCTTGTTCCTCCTTCCAACACTTCCTGGCGAGGGGCATGTTACTTCCATCATGAGAAAAGCAACAGAGCTCTCCGAAAGAGAATAAATAACATAAAGGGCAGTGGCAGAAATCGCAGAGAGATGAGGGCAGTGGGGACCCGTGCACAGCTCTCTCAACTCAGGTGAGAGCACCTGCTCAGAGCTGGTGGCCGGCAACGTGCGAGGGCAGCTGAGCTGCCAGGCGGCAGGCTCGGTCCCTCGCGGGCACACCTAGCCCACATGAGGCCGCGCGTCCACCTACCTGCCCGCGGCCGCTCTTCAGGGGGCCACCAAGCACCTCTTACTTAAGGGCAGCAGAGTGGGAGCGCCTGAGCGCCCGGGGACCGAGACAAGGGAGGGCGGCGTGTGCAAAGACGGTGGGCAGGGAGAGAAAACACTCTGGAGAGAACACCAGCCAGCGGCCAGTGAGGCCGTGGCTTCTCCCTTCTGGGAAGGCGAGGCCTGCGGTGCACAGGCGGGCCGTTCCTCACTCCAGACACCACACTCGTCGCCAAGCTGCATCCTCACAGCCCGCACTCGGCGCTGGCCTTGCCCGGTGGCCCCTCGTGGCCCAGCGACCCCTCTCTAAGCAGCGCAGAGCAGACACCACTTGCTTCTCACATACTGTTCCTCCTCCACCAACAGACGCAGGCCTGGCTGTCAGCAGGGCGCAGGAGTCCCAGCCCGGGCCTGGGGTGTCCTTAGCCCCTGACCACACAGGGCCGACTTACAGGAGTAGCCTGTAGATGCTGCTTCATTTTGGTGGATGGCTTGGCAGGTGGTTCAAGGCCTCCTGCTGGGTCTAAATTAGCTGGGCTTTGGTAGGGTCTAAATGAGGTTCCCAGCCAGAGTGAAGGAAGTCGGGACTCAGAAAGGGAGGGACCCCGACATACTTTGTTGTTGGAAAGAAATCAGGTAGTAAGTACTGTGTTGCTACCAGAAGTGAGCAGCGTGGAAGGCCTGGGTAGGATTCGGGTGGCTGCAAACTTAAACCCCCGGCAAGGGGCCCATGGGTGGCTCAGTCGCTTGAACATTCAACTTAGGCTCAGGTCACGATCTCAGGGTTCGTAAGTTTGAGCCCCACTTAGGGTCCTCTGTCCCCCTCTCCCTCTGCCCCTTTCCCATTCATGTGCTTGCATGCTCTCTCAAAAAACAAATAAATGTTAAAAAAATAATAAAAAATATGGGGCACCTGGGTGGCTCAGTTGGTTAAGCATCTGATTCTTGGTTGTAGTTTGTGGGTTTGAGCCCTGCATCGGGCTTCGCGCTGGCAACGCAGAGCCTGCTTGGGATTCTCTCTCTGCCCCCTCCCCGCTCTCTCATACACACTCTCTCAAAATAAATAAACTATAAAAAATAAAAGTAAATTAAAAATAAAACCATGCACAAGTAACTGTCTTTCTGAGCTTTAGTTTCATTTACCTAATGGGAAAATAATCATCAAAATAAAAATAAATGCACATTTCAAGCAATTATTGTGACAACGAAATGGGGCCGTATAGGTAAAAAGCGGAACACCTTCACTACAGCCCCACGCACGGTAACTGGCTGTGGGGCTTTAATCTAACTTCCCCTCCCCTGTAGAAGGGGTCACTGTGAAGGGAGGCTGTGTATACACGACAGCCACCACAAGGCCTGGTGCCAAACAGCTGCTGACTACGGCCACCGCGGTGATGGTGCGAGCCAAATACATTCTGGGCGCCCTGCAGACGCTGAAAGAACAAGGCTGAGATGACCCCCGAACTGCCTGCGAAGGGGACCCTGACCCAGCCACCACCCGCACCTCTCCAACCAGATCCTACACCTGCTGAGTATCCGAGTACAAGACGGGTGGCCTAGGGTGAAAGCATCCCAGGACCCAAGGGTGAGGATGCTGGGAACGTGGGTGTCTTGCAGCTGAGGGTATAAGCTGATAAGCTACCCAGAGGGAACAATGGGGTAACAGCCACCAAATGATAAATCACAATCTTCTGACCCAGCCACTGCCCTTCCAGTATGGATCGTGCAGTTATACCTGCACACATACAAAATGATACTCACAAGGTCATATGCTATGGCATCATGTGACAGCAAAAGCCTGACTCAGTAGGGGACAGATCCAATAAACTATAATGCTCCCATGTTGAAATACCACAGAGCAGAAACAAGGGAAGAAACTATGTACTGATCTGGAAACTTCCCCGAAAGACGATATAAAGAGAAAAGTATAGAGTAATGCATATAGATTTTTTTTTTAATGTTTATTTTTGAGAGAAAAAGAGAGAGACAGAGAGAGGAAGGGGCAGAAAGAGACGGAGACACAGAATTTGAAGCAGGCTCCAGACTCTGAGCTGTCAGCACAGAGTATGTAATGTGTGTGTGTGTGGGGGTGGCGGGGGGCATATATAGATTTCATATTGCCTTGGACTTACAGCCACATGAAACGAATATAAAGTATCCACGACAAAAGACAACTTGCACCTCTCTTACCAGAGGTCAATGGGAGTAGGCAGAATGTAGCAAAGGAGGCTCTCCTTGGGGCTTTTGGTCTTTTTTTTTTTAATGTTTTACTTATTTTTGAGAGAGAGAGAGACAGCATGAGCAGGGGAGGGTCAGAGAGAGAGGGAGACACAGAATCTGAAGACAGGCTCCAGGCTCTGAGCTAGCTGTCAGCACAGAGCCCGAAGTGGGGCTCGAACCCATGAACCATGAGATCATGACCTGAGCTGAAGTCGGACGCTTAACAGACTAAGCTACCCAGGTGCCCCGGGCTTTTGGTCTTAATAAAGGATCTCCCCAAATTAAGCCCATACCGAGAGCAGAGTGTTCTAGATACAGGCTCAGCTGTGGCAAACGTGGAGACTAACCTGACGAAATCTTCGGGAAGCAGCTCAGGACTAACACCCAGGGAGTCAAGCACATCGTCTCGTATCTGGAGCAAGAGCTCAGAATCTTCCCCAAAGGTATCAGAACGAGGGTCTCTTCCTTTATCCGTGCGGAACTTCAGGAGCACTGGAAAGACGAAGAAGGAAGGTTAAAAACCAGGTCTTTCTGTAACAAATGCTTACAGATGTTGAGAACGAAAACAAAGAAAATGGTACTTTAATTAAAATGTGGGCCAAGTGAGGGGTGCCTGGTTGGCTGAGTTGGAAGAATGTGCAGTTCTTTTTTTTTTTTTTAATTTTTATTTATTTCTAGGAGAGAGAGAGAGACAGCATGAGCAGGGGAGGGTCAGAGAGAGAGGGAGTCACAGACTGAAGCAGGCTCCAGACTCTGAGCTGGCAGTCAGCACAGAGCCCGACGCGGGGCTCGAACCCACGAACCGCGAGATCATGACCTAAGCCAAAGTCGGACGCTTAACCGACTAAGCCACCCAGGCGCCCCAGAATGTGCAGTTCTTGATCTCAGGATTGAGAATTCAAGCCCCATGTGGGGTACAGAAATTACTTAAATAAACCTTTATTTTCTTAACATAGTTTTTAAATGTTTACTTACTTGTTTTGAGAGAAAGTGCAAGTCGGGAGGGGCACAGCGAGGGAGAGAATCCTAAGCAGGCTCTGCATGGTCACTGGAGAGCCTGGTGCAGGTCTCAAACTCCTAAACCATGAGATCATGACCTGAACCGAAATCAAGTCAAACGCTTAACTGACTGAGCCACCCAGGCAACCCTAAATAAAACTTAAAAAAAAAAAAAAAAGCGGGCCAAGTGAAAGGTAAGATACTTTTCATTTATTCACAAAAATAGCCAGAAAGTCAATCAATAATCACAAAAATGACTACAATTACTGTGAACGGTCCCACAACAGGGTAGCAGAGGAGCTGACGTCCCCGGTAGGGTGGCGTCAGTTAAGGCCTCCCTGAAGAAGAAGTGACTGAGTCTAGTGTGTGTGAGCCTGGGCGTGTGGGGACGCAGGGGAGAAGCTTCCAGCAGAGGCAGAAGACCCTGTTGTGCCCTGGAAGACGGGTCAGGGGTGGGAGGCACGCATTCTAGCAATCAGTTCAAAGGGCTGCTCCAGCCAGAGAGGCCAGCCCAAAGCTCAGACCCCTTAGACAGGCAGGTCATTACAAACAAAACCTCGCTCCTATGTCAACCTCCAGAACGAAGGTTCCATCTTGCTTGTGAAGCAGAGGAGAGGGTGGCAGCAAATCAGAGCTCCCACATCATGAGACCCTAACAGGGTCTGAATTTTTAACCCTGACAAAAAGACACAGTAAGGGGCCTGAGGCTGATCAAAATACCAGCACCTTCTACTGGCACCGTACCTTGTTCACGATGCTCACTGCATGCCGGGTGGGTGGTGGTCTCGTCCCCCAGCATGCGCCCCCCGCAGGCGGCTGATGGGCAGCCTAGAGTCTCATCTCAGGGACAACACCCCTCCCACATCACACAGGCTGCTTCAGGGTGGGAGTGGACACATGCGGCCCCTGGTGTTCTGGGACAGCAACCCATACCTGGAGGGAGCTTTGCAGTTTAAAAAGGTGCTTCCTTCGGGGTGCCTGGGTGGCTCAGTCAGTTGAGCATTCAACTTGATTTGTGCTCAGGTCATCATCACGCGGTTCATGAGTTCTAGCCTTGCATCGGGCTCTGCATTGACAAAGCCTGCCTGGGATGCTCTCTCCCTCTTTCTCTGCCCCTCCCCTGCTTGCTCTCTCTCAAAATAAATTAATAAACTTTAAAAACAGCACTTTTCTTTAAGCCTTGTTGGGATTTGCTGACTCAAAAAAAGTGAACTTAGTCAACAAATTATACTCTCCATCAGTACAAGGGGCTCTTCCCTAAAACTTAAGGTGGATTGAAAACTGACACAATTGCTTTCAGGCTCTGTATAAACTCAAGTATTTGGAAGCCACCCAAGACCAAGGAATCAGTCCTTCCACTTGTTTTCTGAAGATTCACAAAGTGATGGGCAGCGTGGCCTGAAAACCAGCAAGATGGCCAAGTGCGTGCAGTGGCCCGGAGGCCGAGGCGCTATGCCTGCGCCCACATAGGTGGGGGGAGGGAACACAGAGGATTCAGGTACCACCACAGATGGCCCCCCTGAAGCCCGAGGGAAGTTCCTAAGTGGGCTGTAAAGTGTTCCAGAAAGATCTCAAACCATGGAGGCCCAAATGGAAAGAAAGACCCAACCCTGGACGGGGTTTTTCTCAGAGACAGGCTTCCGGTCCGAATTTCTCTGGCAACCTCTGCACACCCAGGACAGGGCCCTGCACGTCCTTTGAAGAGAGGACTCTGGACTATCTGTTTTGAATGATGTTTGCTGTCTGGGGATATTTCTTTCCTCTTCCAAGAACAGAGCTTCAATTCTACCCAAGCACTGGCAGCCCGCTCCGAGCTGAGGACGGAGTGGACGCTGGCCAGCACCTAGGCCTCACTTTGGAGTGAAAAAACGCAACCGCGGAAGAAGCACCTAGGGGCGAGGTGGAGAGGGCTGCAGAGCGGCCGGAATCCCTGTTTGGTGCAAGCTTCTTTTTCAACAATGGCCTGTGAAGATAAAGGAATCTGGAAATTTGCTAGTGCAGCCAAAACAGAGGCTACTCCGAGCGGACTCGGACTCGAATGTCATCACTATTCCTAGCAGTCGCTCCCGAGAGGACACAAGGACAGACCCAGAATGAGTTACCAGTGTCGCCTGAGCAATGACAGAGGCAGTGCCAAATGTGGCCCGCTCAAACTGCCCGATCCAAGGCCCTGTGGCAGCTGTGTAGAGACCGAGCGAGGCTGCTTGATTCAAGCCGTCAGGGCGCTGGGCAGCAGGAGCCCCATGCTGGCTGCCTCCCATGCCTTTCATTTCTGTGTCACTGGGACAGAGGCACCAACTGTCGTGAGGGATGGAGGGAAGAGGAGAAGTTTTTCAGCCCCACCACAAAGCTTTCATCTTCTGGTTAGAAAATACAGCTCTTGGAACAAAGCTCAAACCAGTCTAATAACCGTAGCACAAACAGTGCCTGCAATGTGCCAACCACTATTCTAAACATTACGTGCGTTACCACTCATCCTGGGGAGGTAGGGAGATCCGATTACTCTCCCCACTTTATTGATAAAGAAACTGAAGTTCATAGAGATTAAGTGCCTTGTTCAGTGCAACTGCCAATCATAAGCAGTGGAGCAGAAATACCAACTCAGGTCTGCCTTCCTAACCTGTGTTTCTTAACCCTAATCGAATCCAGAAGAAATGGCCAGAGAATCGAGAACGTAGCCCCAAGGATTCCAAGCGGTCTGGCTCTTTGCCCCAACCTCAGGAGAACTGCCATTTGGCCACTTTTTTGTGAGATGCATTTTCCAGATGAGTTGTGCCTTCCCCTCTCCCAAATGGTCCATTAATTTTAAGTTCTCAGTTCAATGGGAGAGAAGTGAAGGCAGAGGCCACATGAAACCTTGCCCGTCAATCTTCAGAGTGACAGACCAGCTTCACCTCAGAAGAGGGAAGATGTGGCACAAGAGGAGAGAGCAAAGGCAGCCAGCAGCTGGCCCCGCTGAGGGCCGGCAGGCCGGCACTGTCCGGGTACCTTGCTGACCACATCTGAAGTCCTCTCAGGGCCTCGAGGAAGGGGGCCAGTCCGTCCGGCCACTTACTTGCAGCAAAGCAAACAGAAGCTGTATTTTTCACTCTTTTTCAAATGTCAGCGCTCCAGTCAGCAGGCGTGTAGGGGAACGGGGAGAAGCCCCACAACTGACCCTGTCCCCTAACAAGTTCTTATTCATTAAATTCCCTCTTTGTTCTGTTTTTGACCCCTCCTAAATAGCCAGCCAGCTAGCACCCCCACCCCAACACTGACTCTGCATTTCTGAAGAGCACCTCCTCACCAGTTTCCAGATTATAAAACTGTTCCCTTAAGATCAAATATTGTTGGGGATGGTGAGCTGCTCTGCCAAAAGATGACTCATTGAATCATATCAAAACACTGCACAAAATTAGAGTTCCAAACTTGATTAATTTCCTCTGAATCTTTTAATTAACTCAGGTTGTTAAAGTATGGGGGAATGACATTCATCGCTACAGATGATAGGCCAGTATCTCTGTCCAAGTTCAGGACTTGCCCGTGTAAGGGAAAAAGGCAAACTTTGAAAAGGAGAAACCAAGCATCTTTTCATGTGTTAAAAGAAAAATGACATACATGTGAATACACTGCTATTCCGCAAAAAGACTGACACTCAAATTCACATTTATTCTGAATCAGAATATCAGATTCACGTTATGATAGAAATGTGGAAAGCAGTACTATTAATCACTGTTCTTTTATTTTTTTTTTAATTTATTTCTAGGAGAGAGAGAGAGACAGCATGAGCAGGGGAGGGTCAGAGAGAGAGGGAGTCACAGACCGAAACAGGCTCCAGGCTCTAAGATGGCAGTCAGCACAGAGCCCGACGCGGGGCTCGAACCCACAAACCGCGAGATCATGACCTAAGCGAAAGTCAGACGCTTAACCGACTAAGCCACCCAGGCGCCCCTCTTTTTTTTTTTTTTTTTAACTTTTTTTTAATGTTTTATTTTTTTCTGAGAGAGAGAAACAGCATGAATAGGGGAGGGTCAGAGAGAGAGAGAGACAGAATCTGAAACAGGCTCAGGCTCTTAGCTGTCAGCACAGAGCCTGATGCGGGGCTTGAACCCACGAACTGTGAGATCATGACCTGAGCCGAAGTCAGATGGTTAACCGACTGAGCCACCCAGGAGCCCCTACATTTAAGCAGTATGATTATATTTAGCATAATCACTAAGGCCACCAGAAGAAAGTAGCACTTTCATAGGGGAAAAAAGTGAAGTCAATGTCAGAAATTAGCCCCAACCCAACTGCTGCCCCTTACCCTCCAAGGCAGCTCAAGTGAGAAGGGAAAAAGCCAGATCTACACAAAACCTCATCTGCCCGACTGACACCTGAAGCTTCTCTGCACCAACCACCCTTGCACCCATCTCCCCCATGGCCCCCGTTCTCCTCAAGCTGCTCATTCAGCGGAGACTCATAATCTCTGGGAATGGCCTGCAAATTGGCTCAACTAAGAAAAGGAAAAGTTC